AATAAAGATAGAAATAAAGTATAATTAGGATGTTAAAATAGAGTTTTATTCAAAGTATGCTTATTTTAATTAGATTAGATTATTTTTGATAATTCGATAAAAGTTCTAGTTTATTAGAAGTTTGTTTTATTTTAGATTCTTTCAGTTTCTTGCTTTATAAATAAAAAGGTTTATTCATTTTAATATTCAACCAACTGCTCTACCACTGAGCTAACGAGGTGGCAAAGCATGAGTTTTTTTTTTTCACTTTTTGTTGGTTTGAATCTATCTAGCAGCACGTTGCTAGAAAAAATGGTTTCTTCAAATTCACTCTAGATTATATGAATAAACTGATTCTCCTCTTGCACTAATGTCTTCTCTTCTTTGCACTCCTTTCTTTCTGTTCCTTGTGTTGCTCGTTAACAAATAATATGCTCGTGGATCGCTAAGATTTCAAAAGACTTGCTTTCAAGATGAAAGCATAAGAACAACAAAAAAGAATACAACTAGGAAATCACTCTCCTCCACCCTGTGAATATGCAGCGATGAAAGGGGAAAAATAAGAAAGTGGATGACAACTTTTGTCCCGATCCCAGGGGAAGGGGGGATCTTACGAGAACAATTCATGTACAGAAGTCTAAGCCTAGAACTCCTGAATCTTAAAATCTGCACAAAATCATTGAATCAATTGTTGAGGGGGTTCCAGTATCAATAACTTACACCAGACACACTAATTAAGTCCTTGGATGAAATTGAAGATCCAAATAAGCGAGCAGCACTCTGAAACAAACCAAAAAACAAGAAATCTGGTTATTCATTGATGTCATCGTTGACCAAAATATAAACAAATGAAATGCTTCAGTTTTTATAAAGATCAGCACACTGCAAAAACATATTAACATGTACCTATTACTAATTTTCTTATGGGAAAAAAAAGCATGTCATTTATTTTTACCAAATTAATGCAATTATTGAGCACAAATCTGGAAGTGATTTTAATTATATTAAAGAACAAACTCCTCCTGAATTTCAAAGTCATGCTCAGAACAAAGAAACTGAATGTCACGTGACAAATAATTTGAAGATAAATTATGCTGAAATGTACACCCATGTGTATGTATACGAATAAAGGGGATATTCGTGAACAAAAAAATTGTTGAAAAAAAAATGAGATCTTACTTGTAGGTATGTTATTGCTCGACGCAGATCACCTTGTGAAATAGAACTTAAAGTAGCAAGAGCCTATTGTCAGACAGAGACAGTAGCATCGTTACTAAAGAATTATAATACTAAATACGACAGATCCCACTAAATACAATACACAACCAGACAATTAGTGAGTATAGTACAGGGCTCCATACCTCAGAATCCAAATGAAGACCTTCCTCTTCGCAAATATATAGTATGCGGGTGCTCATGATTTCTTCTGTAAGTGGCTTGAATCTGAACTTTGCACATCTAGAGGCAAGTGGCTCTATTATCCTACATCAGATGGAGTAATTACAAACACCAATTATAAATAAATTAACAGATTGAGGAAGAGGTATCCAGTTAGGGAATTAAAAACTGAACTTAGAGGCTTCAAATTACTCAAAGGCTTTGGCACCAAGAAATATTCTTTGCATATATGGCAAGTAGAGTCCAGAAAGTATATATTAGTATGTAATCTGCCCCACGTTGAATGATGTTGATTTTATGGAAATTATGAGCCAAGAGTCTTTTAATTATAGAAACATGGTGTGCATGGACTTCGGCAGCATTCAAGGCATATTTACACGTTGCAATTTAAAATCATCTAGACAATGAACCCATTTATGTGTATCAACTATTTGATAGAGTTATTATGATGGCTTTACCAGACATTTATGCCACTTTGACTCTTCTAAATCCACTGAAGTACCCTTTTAAATGGACGTTTGACACTAGGGAAAGAGTATAGATGCCAGTCTAATATCTGTATTGATCATAAACATGGAAGGAATATCGAACATGTTTGATATGTTTATTAAATATCTTAAACAAATTTTGATGCTATTTTCAATAGCTTATGTTAAACTTGACCCATTTTATAACAAAAACAGAGAAAGAAGGTGAAAAGATACTAATATTTGCCAGTTCCACATCTGTTAGAATTTAGAAGTTCAATAGTTTAGGCATGTAGCCACACCTGACATCTGCATCCAAGTCCAAGAAATGTACTTCAATAAGGGCTCATGTCTGTATTATTCTTACATTTATTACGAACTTACTGCACTTTTGGAATTGGTTTAGCTAAGTTTTCATACCTTCAGATACAAATCTAATATTGATAATGGAAGTATCACTATATTGTGAGTAAAACCTCACAATAACATGTTTTTTTTTCATCACAGAACAATATATAATTTAGCCAAGTTTATAATGGATTTTACAATTGTTCTTACATTTATGACGCACTTGACTTTTGGAATTGGTTTAGCTAATTACCAGAACATGAGATAAGAATCGAATACTGCAGGAATGTGCATTACTATCATACTATGCATTGCCTAGTAAATCTTCGCAATAACATAAATTTTTCATTACAAACAATATAGGATTAGTGAAGAGTAATTACACCAGGGACTAAGAGATATCTTTCAATTATTTCTGGAGAGAAACAATGGACACCAGAGTTTCAATTTATAGCCATACCAAAATAACCTCATCCCAGTTATCATTCTGATAAATTTGATAACAAAAGGAGTTTGGGTGAGAGAGAGGGAGGGAGAATTAGAGAACTCAAGACTTACCTGCTGATGTAATTACAAATGAAGAAGAACCTTGTAACTTTTGAATATGTTTCCATAGTGCGTCGCAAGGCATTCTGCAACCAACAAGTTGTTTAAATTGGTCTGAAATTCAATTCAACTAGCAAACATTATTTACCAATAGTCTTACCTGTGCATCTTCTGTCATTGAGTCAGCCTCATCAAGAATTATGATCTTATAAGGTGGGCAAGGATAACCACTGAATTGAAGAACGGAAACCATCCAAATGAACAAAAAGAAGCATGTGAAGTAAAATAAGCAATGAGTTAATGTAGAAATAAATTATACCCCTGGCGACCAGAACCTACAGCCACGGCAGCGAAGTTTTTAATTTTTGTGCGAACAACATTGATCCCACGATCATCACTAGCATTCAGCTCCAACACTCTAGACTTGTACAATTCAGGTCTGTCAAAAAAAAGGTTCGATTTAGTAAATGGAAGCCCATTTTTGACACGAACCTTGTTTTGGAAATACATAGGAAGGTGTTCATGACTTCATTCTTTACGAAAAATCCCAATCCCAAATTGACATTGTTGCTTCCCCGTCTGATTAAGAAATTCAAAGTGGCCATCCAGTATAATGGTCAAGAAGAGCACCAGTAACTGCTCACTTTTTGCCAGATTTCCGGAATCAATTAAGATTCAAAGAGCGAATATTTAAGGGTAAGATAGATCAACTATCAAGTTAGAAATAACTTCATTTGCTAATATTACCCAATTATCCTCATTTCAAGAAAATTCTGGAAAGCTGTTTATGAGGAACTCGTGTAAAGCCTCAATACACCATCAAAGGATTACATGGTGCACACACTGTTCTAATTAACTATCAAGGAACATCCAGCAGTTATATTACTTTGACTTCTCTTCCTCAAATAACTGACACTTGAAAAGAAGTAAATCATTGTAGTAATAGTATATAATCATTAATGACCCAAAGTAATAATTACGAGAAGAACGTAAACAGATAGTACCCGAACAGCTGATGAGCAATGGCCAGAGCAGTAGTTGTTTTACCAGTACCCGGAGGCCCATAAAATAACATGTGTGGACACTACAGAATTAATAAAAATACCCATAAATTAATAACACTGGAATTTTTATTTTTTTTTAAATGTCATTAAAAGTTAAAACTGGACAAATCATGGGAAACACTACAAAATTAGTAAAAATAACCCTAATATATTGATACTGGAAATATCAATATCAGTCATGCTGAAAAAATTCAGGAAAAAACAAGTAATGAATATTACATTGGTGGTCTCGAGGGTGTTCGTGAGGACTCTAACGACTTCGTCTTGGTGAGCCACGTCCTTAACTTGCTTTGGTCGACTGCAAATATATATAAACAGTAAATATAAATCGGAAACCAGAAAAAGAGGGATTTGATAAATAGCGAGTAAGAGAGGATGGAATTGTATACTATTTTTCCACCCATGGTTGAGAGCTCTGCAACACTGGCGCCATGGCTTCTTCCTCTGTAGTCTATGCGCACTAAAAAAAAAAAAAGGATTTTCTCTATTGATAGTGCCCTTTCCCGCTTTAGAGAGAAGAAAATGAAGAGGAACGGGAAGAGAAAAAATAAAAATTAAAAATTAAAACGGGGAGAGAGAGTATAAAAACAATTACTTTTCACCACAATTTTTTTCAAAACTCATATTTAACCATAATTTCTTTGATAAAATAATTTTATACGTAAATTCAAAATTTTCCATACTTTTAACTGCACATTCTTCAATAAAATAATTTTACACATAAAAATTTTTTTTTCCATATATTTAAATACATGTTTTTCAAAATATCATTATTTCAAAACACATTTTCTCTAAAAGAAAAATGGGTCTCAAACAGTTTCTTTAGTGGTGTCAATATGGACGGACCGCCCAAACCGGCACGGAGGCGAATTGGGCCATAATTCGGCCCATGAACCAAGTGAGTCGAATCACGAATCGCTCGGACCTGAAACTGGTCTAAGCCGGTTTAAGAAAAATCGGGCCAGCGATCGTGTTTTTAAAAAAAATAAAAAATTAAAAAGAATAAATAAAGTAGCAGGCGCGTTGCATGCTGCAGAAAAACGTCACAGGTCAAATCATGTGACCGTTTGACTGTTATATTTAATTTTTTCTTATAAATTATGGTATTATGAAATGAAAAAAAAGCAAACTCTCACAATCTACAAGTTNTTTTTCTTCAAGAAATGTCAATTTACATGATAGTTGTTCTCCAATAAATTTGGAAGATGATAATGATCCAAATATTGGATCTTTTCAATAGAAAAAGAATAAAAAACACACATATGATGTTTGAGAAATCTTTACAGTAAATGAACCAAAGAAAAGAGCAATATGCACTCTTTGCAGAAAGAGCTATGCATGGGTTAAAGGTTAAAGCACGAGCACATTGCGATGACACGAAGATAAACGCATAAATGAAAGACGACATTTAGATGCTAAACAAACTCAAATTACTTCTTTTACTAATACTGGTGGAATAATTTTTTTTTCTAATTTTTGTTATTCGCAGGACCGAATGAGAGTAGGAATGTCTGAATTTTTGGCAGCAATCGAGATGCCTTTCACTTTCGCGAAAGATCGATACTTTGAGGAGTTTATGCAAAAGTATGTTCAACCCGCTTATTGGTC